TACTGTTTGTAAATGGCGGAATCAGTTTGTAAACACAATTTGTTCCAAATGCATCATTTAAATAGAAATGGCCCAAAGCCAGCATTACTTCAAGCATAGGAATTCTCACATCATTTGTCCTCACCAAAAATTCCACAGTACCAAATTTAGCTGAGTGAGACCAGCATGATGCTGAAAATACTTCCTCTGCTGTTATTTGGCATTGTTTAATAAAAGAGGAACAGATGTGGAACCACACAAAAAAATTAATTAATTTTTAAAAAGGTTAGGTTTAGAAATGACAAATGCCATTCTAACTATTGGAAGCCAGAATGAAAGATTCAGATTCGAGAATGGTAACATCATTGAAACAGCACTTCAGAATTTATTTGAACAAGATTTGATCAACTGAATATATTTGGTAATGCATATTTGAATTTGTACCTAACTTCAAAATAGTAGTAATCAACTTGACAGGACAGTAAACTCATACAGTGCCCTTCTGTTTTTCCTTCTTGTCTTCATACTATTGTTATATATTTGCTTCAACGGGTATTAATTCTGCCTGATTATTGATTATATTTAAAGAGGCTATTCATATTCATGTTCATTATTTCTATAGTATCAAGTTGCTCAAATTGTATGAATCTTTCCCTTTTTGGGGATGTATAATATGTGTGCTGGTGCCAGGGCTTAAAATTAGGGCTTCTGCTCTTGGCTTGGCTTTCTTGCCATAAGACTGATGCTCTACCAGCAGAGCTATGCTGCCAGTTCAGCTTTTTGCTGGTTAATTGGAGACTGAGTGTAGTGAACTTTTCTGCCTAATCTGGCTTTGGACTTTGATCCTTCATATCTCTGTCTCCAAAGTAGCTAGGATTGTAAGCAATAGCCATCTGCACTCAGCAAGATCTTTTTACTCATGTAATACTTGGCAGAAAAAATATTAACATTTCTTATAGTAAAGACTACTAGTGTTGAATTTTTTGAGCTTTTGTTTGATTGAGAAGTTTTAATTCTACTTTTATTTTTGAAACGCGTTTTTCTGGACTTAAAATTTTAGATGAACACTTGTAATTACTCTAAAGAGGTTACTCAATTGTTATGATTTTTGTGCAGTGTCCTTCTAGGAGAGGCTTGTGCATTAAAGCTTCGTTCCTCCGTAGTGGCTCCAATCATTGAGAACTGATTGGATTCTGAGTAGTTTGACCTAATCAATGGATTCATCTCTTGATGGATTTATAATTGGATGGCTCTATGAAAAGTTGGTGGAGACTAGTAGATGAGACCTAGTTGAAGGAAATAAGTCACTGAAGGTGTGCCTGGAAGGATATATAATGGCCTGGCCCTTTCTCTTAGTTCTTTCTGCTTTCTAGTTGCTATGAGGTAAACAGATTTCCTCCACCATGATGTTCTTTCTTCCTTTCCTTCTTTCCTTCCTTCTTTCCTTCCTTCCTTTCTTTTTCTTTCTTCCTTTCTTTCTCTCTCTTTCTCCCTATCCCTCCCTCCCTCCCTTCCTTTTCTTTTCTTTCTTTCTTTCCTTCTTCCTGTCTTCTTTTTTCCTTCCTTCCTCCCTTTCTTCATCTTTTTTCTTTGTTTTTCTTTTGTGTGATCCTGGGGACTGAACTCAATCTCTCACTAGCAACACACACACACACACACACACACACACACACACACATGCATGCATGCATGCATTCTCTCCATTGCTATGGGAACTGAACCTCTTGACTCTATTTTCTTTTCCATTGTTTTTGTTTGGTTTTTGGCAGTATTGGAGATTGACTCAGGGTCTGGTACTTTGCCTTTGCAAAAGCAGATGCTATATCTCTTGGGCCACATCTCCAGACCCTTTTTGGTCTTCATCATTTTGAGAGGAGTGTCTCAATTTGTGCTGAGGCCACCCTGGGCTGCAATCCTCCTACTGGTGCCTCCCTGCATCGCTGGAGGTGACACCCTCATGCCCATCTATTAGTTTAAATGGAGTCTTGTGAATTTTTATGCCAGGGCCATCCTCAAACTGTAGTCCCCCTGTATCTGCTTCCTTAGCAATTGAGATTACAGTCTTGAGCCACGGCACCCATCTTGCCTCCATTGTTCTCAAAGCACTGGGTAATGAGGTTCTTCTTTCCCATATGAGTTGGTATAGCTGGCATTATTGCATTAAAAATAAAACAGATGGTAGCTGTATGTATGTCCATGCTTTATGATAAGCTGGCTAACTGTCAGCTTTATCTAACTAAAGTTAATTTTTTTTTGCAAATTCTTTATTGCAATTAAGTGCTTACATAATTTCACAAATTTCACAGTATTGTGGGATAGTGATGATTAGTTAAAGTCACAAACACATTCTAACTTTCATGGGGCAAATTGTCTATTGTGGTCTACAAAGTTTATAAGTTCTATGGACTTTTACAATACAGTTATTTCTTCCACATCAGGTGATATGTACATTTCTTTCCTTTTGTAGGGCGTCAGCTGTTCCCTCTTCCCACTTGTTCCCTCCCTTCCATCGCTACCATTGAGTTACTTAGTTTGTTTTGATCAATGTCCAGTGCAGCTGATAGGACCCACTGTTGTATGTTTTTCCCTGATTCCCTCTAGTTCTATGTCCTCCTCCTAGTTTCCCTCCAGTGTGCACATATATACCATATATGTGATCAGCAGCATGGGGTTATTTAGTAGTGATTCAACCAGATGAGTGGAGGTCCTTTGTGTCTCAAGTCTTGTTAACTGTTGTATCACCTTACATTTTGGATGTAACATCACTTATCAGGGAGACCATGTGCCATTTGTCTCTTTGCTCTTGGTTTACCTCAATCAACATGATTTCTTCTAATTCCATCCATTTCCCTGTAAATGCCATTATTTTGTTCTTTCTAATGATAAAGCTAAATGTTTATTGTATGATATGTTTATTTTTTCATTTGTAGCAAGTTAACACAAAACTTAACCATTTTGCCATTTTTATGTACATAGTTCAGTGGCATTAAGTATACATATTTAGACAACCCTCACCATAGTCCATCCCCAGAACTTTTTCATTATCCCAAGAAAACTCTACCCATGAAATATAAGCTTACCTTTCAAATGTCCCCACTTAGATCAGCTCATCAATCATCATCTGTTTCCTGTTTCAGTGAGCTTCACTAACTTGTTTACCTCATATATGATCTGTGTGTAACTGGATCATTCCGTAGTTTTCTTGTTTTGACTGGCCTATATCATTTAATATTGTGTCCTCGGGGATTTACCCACGTCACATTATGTATCAGAATTTCCTTCCCTTTTCAAGCTAGATAATATTCTATGGGGTAGCTAAATATCATTTGATTTACCTGTTTATTCATCTAGGGCCTCCAGCTACTTTTCAACAACTCTAAGGGGTAGAAAAATCTTCCTTATTCTGCACCTAATTCTGTTTCCTTAAAAACAGGTCCTAGATCTGCCCTCTAAATACAATAGAAGTCAAATTACCCATGTCTATCCTCTACTTACTTTTAGGTCATTTTTAGGAACTCCTTCTTTGGACTATAAAGTGAGGCCTGACGCTTTAGAGTGGAGCCTTCTTGTGTTCATGTGTTCTCTGCCTCCAGTTGAATGAGTCAATTCAGAGGCCCTCTTTGCCATTTGCCCCACACTTATCATTCCTACCTGGAGGGTTGAGCTACAGGTGATCACCTTCATTTCCCAGGGGACATAAGTACTCACCCTACAGCCACACTCAGCCTATAGCCCAGTAGACTCCTGAATGCTAATCCCTCTGGCCAGTGCTAACAAAGCTGGGTCACACATCAGCTGCTGGCCTTGTGACATGCTTGTGGAAGATTTCTTAAGTGCATATCCTTGCCTCAGCACCCCATCTCCAAGAACATGGCGAGGATGAAAAGTGACAAAAGTGAGAATCTAGAACAGGAAGGGAGATCGAGTCTTCCTCAGAAAGACAGTGCCACTGGCTTGCGTGGAACAGAGATGGGAGAGCTGACCACAGGCAGATCCCCAGAGGAGGAAGGGGCAGATCAAGTTGCTTCTCCCTCCTGCCCCATCCTGAGGAATGGGCTGAGTGACACTGCAGGTTTTTCTCTTCCCTGGTATCTGTGAGTCAAGGCGCCAGTGGTGACCAAGTAGGTCAGATAAAGGACTGCAAAACCATTGTCCGAATTGCCCAGGGGAGGATGTGGCCAACATTCCTAGGTGTGTTTGAAAGTAGGTGCCAAGCAAGAAACATTGGCACAGGGAGACTACATTTGGAGTCCAGAAATTTCCTTCTACCATGAGGCAACTCAGATTCAATCCCTTCCAATTCAGTAGTAAACATGTTGTCATACAACACAGAAGGTGAACCCTGCACTCTATACCTGTGGCTTTTACAATAAGGCATCATTTATGACAACAGATTTCTGCTTTTCCAGAACTTATTTATCCATCAATCAATAAACTTCCTTAATCATACTTTTAAAAGTTCTAGAAAATTTGACTCGTTTACTTACAAATAGTAATACATTAGTCTTCTGAGTTATATATTATAGCTCCAAAAGTACTGGAAATTAGATGTGATGAATATTTATAAAATAAATATATCAAGTCAGGCATTGTTGGCTCATGCCTATATTCTTAGCTACTTGGGAAGCTGAAATCAGAGGATTGTAGTTCAAAGCCAGCCTGGACAGAAAAATCCATCAGGGTCTTATCTCCAATTAACCACCAAAAAGTCAGAAGCAGAGCTGTGGTAGAACAAGTGGTAGAGCAATGACCATGAGTGAAAGAGCTCAGGACAGTTCCCAAGTCCTTAATTCCAGCCACAATACCAGGACTAGGAAAAAAAATCCTTACATAGACTTGCAGATCAAAGACAAGTAACAAAATGGGTTGAAGGAAGAACACAACAGTATTGGAAGACTTTTTTTTTTTTTTTTTTGGTCGTGGACCTGAACTCTGGGCCTGGGTGCTGTCCCTCAGCTCTTCAGCTCAAGGCGAGCGCTCTACCGCTTGAGTCACAGCTCCACTTCCGGCTTTTTCTGCTTATGTGGTGCTGAGGAATCGAACCCAGGGCCTCATGCATGAAAGGCAAGCACTCTACCACTGAGCCACACAACAGTATTGGGAGAAAAAGTTTATATATCTGAGCTTGAGTGTCTACCATAGAATAAAAAAGGGAAAAACAAAATTGGGCTGCCTATGTCCCATTATTTAATTAAAGAAATCATACAAATCCATTACAAGATGTTGCCTTGACAAACTTCAAACAGAGGTTATTCAACAAACAAGACTGAAATACCACCTTTTAGGAATGTGCCTGCTCTGTTTGTAAGAACATGTGAGCATGTCTTTGTGTGCATGTAGATATCTACCTATCATCTGTCATCTCTTTTGGATGTATTTATTCCAGAGTTTTACAACAAAACTGGAGAGCGGATTTGCAGGAATTTGTGTGTGTCAGTCTGTAGGAATGGTTTCTTGTGGTGAGGGAGAGTGAGGATGTGGTGGGAAGGATGGAGAAGGCTGTCTCTCCCAGCCTCCAGGACACCTGCATTCTTGTTCTGTCCTGCCAGCTAGCTTTGTGGTTGCTTCAGATTCTCAGGGCCTTGCCTGTCATGGAGGAGCTGAGAGTTGGCCAGTCTTGCTGCCTTAAGCCAGGATCTAAGTTCCTGAGGAGAGCTCCTTGACACCTAGATGTCCTGCCTCAGAACATTTCTGTTTAATCCCCACCCCCACCCCTGGGCCAAGCCTGGCATATGACTGGCTGGCTGCTCTGCTCCTGTTTGGACACCAGTCCCTGCTGGTCTGGAGCCCTGCCCCAAACCACAGCTGCCTGGCTTGGGGCCTGGCCATCTGTCTCCTGCTTGCCAAATACTCTCTCTTCCTCTGGAGGGCTAGAATTTGTCATCATACCCAATAGTAGCTGAGGGCAGCTACTATTGGGGGTATCTTGCTTCCACCCTAATAGACCCTGCTTGCCTGTTCTGATTGTCCCTCTGTCCTGAAACCCTAGTTTGTCCCATGCCTCCATCTCTCCAATGAAACCTCCTCTACGTTTAGGCCCAAAATTCACCAAATGGCTTATAGTATAAGTCATGATATAAGGACCCAAGCTGGCTTCCTTAGATACCATCTTAAGCCAATCCTGGAAGTTACCTCCACATTGGCCCACTGTCTTGAAGGTTATAAGAGCAAGTGAAGAACTCTCCCCTTTCCTAGCAGGTGATCATGTGGAGGGTGTGTCTCAGGCCCCTAATATCAGGAGCTGTTTGTAGGACATAGACTCTAAACAATCAGAAACTACAAGGAGCTGTTCTTCTGTTCCAAAAACAGAATCAGGAGGGATTCAGAAAGGCCAAAACTTACCATATTGCCTTGATATTGGCAAGGTCATGCTGCCAAAGTGGAGTGTGTGTCCACAGTCATTCCTTTAGAGAGGAGAGGAAAACGGTCCTCTTCAGTCCCATCATTTAAGGTAAAGAATGCCTGAGAAAGAGCTGAAATATTTTCTCACCTTCAGGAGTTTGCTATAAGCGGGGAACCCTTTGGGATCAGTTTCTGGACAAATGCAAGGTTGGAGGCAGACAAAAAGGTGGCGTTTAATCAACAATTATGTTGGATAGGAGCAGAGTTTCCAGGTGCCTACAGGAAAAGATAGTGCTGGCCAGAAGTAATTGTGATCCGGGGAGGCTAACAGGAAATATCACCCATCCTGAGGTGAAGAGTACCTCCCAGAGTGTACAAATACCAAGAGAGCCACTGCCCATGAGTAGCCTGTAATGCATGTACTCATCTGTTTGGAAGACAGAGATGTCTGTAACTACCAATAATCTATGTAATAAATTCTGCAGCACCTGGTCCAATACAGGCACTTGGTATTCTTTCATAGCTCCTGCCCACCAGAGACCTTTCCAGCTGATGGGGAAGATGAGGGCATATCCCACTGGAACTAACAGATGTTATATGTATAGGTCCAGGATTTCTCTAGGGGATGTGGAAATATGCCCTTCCATATCTCCTGCCAGAGCCATGTCTCCGGCAGGGATGTTGAATAGGGATTCCATGTCCCTCTACTCAGCTCTGCCTTCCAGAAAATGTGCCCATGGAGAGTAAAGAGATGGGAACTTTAGGATGGGCCACCCAAGGCTGAGGCAAACTATGAGAATAAAACATTGATATCTCACTGTGGTTTTGCCTCTCCAAGCACCTGAACCCCATTAGCTTGGGGGGTAACTTAGTTCCAAGTCCATGGGTATTTATTTTCACACAGTGATTAAAAAGTAGATAAAATTCATAAATAGCAAGCCACCCAGCTTAAACGACCTTCAAATCGGGTCGGAACAAAATGCAATTACATAAAGAAGCACATCTGATTTTAGATGTGCCAGAAAGCTAAACAAAGTAGAAAAAAATCCATTCTGCAGGCCAAAATAAGATAGGGAGCGATCATGAACATGAGAGTTATTTTCTTCATGCACTGCAGTTTTAACCTGCAGTCTGGCTGAGGGTTTTCAGATGGGGAGAGACCAGCCTCTACTACCCTTTTCACTGGATCTCTAGGAACTGAGCCACTGGCTTTGGATTGGATGAGATTTCTGCTGTGGAGAGGCCGCTGTCAGCAGGCCTGCTGGGCCCAGGGTGGGAAGAGCTGGGGACTGCCACTCACACTGTGGCTTAGAGGCTGCTTCTAGGAAACCACAGAGAGAGGGGCCTAGGCACGTAGACAGGGGTCACAGGGGAGATAACCAGAAGGAGGGAATGAGAGGGACAAGGTAGTTATTAAGCAACCAAAAAATAGTTTTTAAGTTAATTGCTCACTTTGAAACTCCTTCATGCTACTATAACAGAATATCTTAGACCGGTTGGCTTAGAAACAACAGAAAGTTATAATTCTGTGTTATGAAGGCTGGGAAGTTCAAGACTAAGGCTCTAGTATATTTGGTGCCTTTTGAGGGCCAATTTTCTAGTTCCTGGGGAGCCTTCTGGAGGTACTATCGCATGGAGGGCCTAGTTGGCTCTCCAAGGTCTTTTTTTTTTTTTTAATTAAATAACAGCACCAATCCCAGATAGCACTAGATAGCACTAGTACTACCTAGATTAGAAAAGCTGGCTGCCCAAATAATAGTTTTTAAAACTATTGATACTCTTTTTGCCAAGAGAAGTTTCACTGTGACCTTTCCACACAGGTATATGATGTTTCTGAATTCATCTCATCTCCTACTGAATCTTCCTTTCAAGTCACTACAACATGTACCTGGAGAGTAGTTCTCCCAAGTTCAATTATTACCTGAGCATGCAAATCCCTTTGCCAGGACTGGTTTTCAAGGTGTGACCCATGGGTCTCTGTCTTTGTACTACCAACCTCACTACAGAGTTCCAGACTCACTCAGAACTTTAAGTCAGAATCTTGGGAGTCAGGGCCCATGAATCTATATTTTAAAATCTCATAACTTTAGTAATTTGGAAAACTATCACCCATAGGGTAAAAGACCAAATTATTACATATATATATATATATATATATATATATATATATATATATATCACCCTTCATCTTGTGGCTAGGTCACTGGAAAGTACACTGACTTTGGAATCTGAACACTTAGGTTAAATTATACTGCTTAGCCTTGAGCAATTCACTTAATTTCTTATGGCTCCAGATTTTCTCATTTGCAAAATGGGAACTCTACCTCTAGTTGTAAGCATAAATTGGAAAAGAATGTAAAAGCCTTCTCATTGGAAACTCTTAAAGGGTTCTATAGGTACTTATTACTATCATGATTATTAATTGGCCTAGTATCAAAAACTCCCATACATAGTGTTCCCCTTTAACAGAAGCTGCCATTATTCTTTTTTTTTTTTTTTTCTGGTTGGTTGTGGGCCTGAACTCTGGGCCTGGGCGCTGTCTCTCAGCTCTTCAGCTCAAGGCTAGCACCCTACCACTTGAGCCACAGCGCCACTTCCAGCTTTTTTCTGCTAATGTGGTGCTGAGGAATTGAACGCAGGGCCTCATGCATACAAGGCAAACACTCTACCACTGAGCCACCTTCCCATCCCCCAACTGCCGTTATTCTGGTGTGCCATTAAATTAGCCTTCCTAAAGTCACCTCCTTCCTTCTATCCATGTTCTATGATTATACAACCTCTTTATTTAGGCCTTTCAAAGCCTTCCTGTTGCCCTTAGAATATAGTCTAAAATCCTTAATAAAACTAGCTTTTAGCATTGCTAGGACCTGGCCAATTGAAAGAAGATAGAATTGAAATGCAAATAACCTGCTACTCAACAAAAATAAGCCCAGTCTTCGTTCTTGCCTTGAGAAGCTCCAAGTAACCAAGATATTCAGAGGATGAGTTCCCTGGACTCATCAGAAGGCCCAAGTGGCAGTAGTCAAGGTGATAGCCCCATGGAAGAAAGAAAAAGACACAATATTAAAACTCATGTATTGAGCCAGGGGCCAGTGGCTCATACCTCTTATCCTAGTTACTCAGAACTAAGATCTAAGGATCTCTGAAGTCAGCTCAGGCAGGAAAGCCTATGAGAATCTTATCTCCAATTAACCACCAAAAAGACAGAACTGGAGCTGTGGGTCAAGTGGTAGAGCACTAGCCTTGAATGCAAAAGCTCAAGGACAGTCCCAGGCCCTGAGTTCAAGCCCCAGGACTAGCATTAAAAAAAAGAACACTTGAATTGTGTGACTTAAAAGGGTCACTCTAATCCATACTACTTACAATAACAAAATTAAATATAATTGTAAAGTGCATACAATTTTTAATATACAGAGATACTGCTGGCTATGTGCATCTAATCATGTAAAATAATATTTATTGAAATGAATACTAAGAAAACAAAAGGGTTTCTTTTTTCATTGCGGTTTTTGTTTTCTTTTCTTTTTGTCTTGTTTGTTCATTTATATGTCTTCAGGAGGGCAGGGGGTGTACAGAAGTGGAGGGATAAAAGTTGAACAAATGCAGCAGTGGTACTCACTAGACACTATGTTGAAAATGAGCTAAACAACTTGTGGGTGGGCATGGGAGAGAAAAACTAGGAGAGAATGAGGGAACAAAGGTACTCTTTACCTGACTTATGTAACTGTAACCCCTCTGTATATCACCTTTAT